AGGAGAGTTGAAGAGGAAGGATATGGTGATATTATCTTCTCATTCACATCTCTGAGGGCCGCGCGGTCATCGAGAATAATGGAAGTATTTGTTACCTCATGCTTGTGACTGATTAACTTGAGGCAAGAACCAGTCTGATATTAAAATCAAGATTCAGATATTGTTTGGGTGCTTTATGACAAACAACTATCTCTCCTGGTCATTCAGATTTAGCAGGAGCTATTCAACTTTGGTGATACTCAATTTCTCAGGAGCAAGTGAATAATCGTCATGCAAATCATGAATCTCCCACGGGCACTCAAGATCAACCTCAAGGATGCAAGGTGATGATTTTCACTTCTCAAAGACAGTGTAAACTCGTGTAAACTTTCCAAAAGGAAGATCTTTTGACATTGCCCGACTATAAAGATTGTTTGCATCAAGAACTCTGATGGCTTCCTTGGATCTTCACCGACACATTTGCTTTTGCTTTTGAATATCGATTTGCCATCATTGAAACACCTCCACGAATTCCTTATTTTGATCAGTACTTAGGAACAAGTTTGAGCAAGTTTGACTATTTTAACTGGTGTTAAGATTGTCAAACTCGAGGAGAGTTGAATCTAAATAGAGACAACGACAGTGCTGTCAACCAGAGGACACAAGTATAGAGGAGAGTCTCGGTGGTGAATACAATATCTGAGGTTCAATGCCTGGACAAACCCGGACAAAACATTTCCCATGTAGTTCCTAAATCACTTTGTTAGTCGCATTTTCGAGACGGTAAGTAGAAATAAAGAAATCGGGCTGGTGTTCATTAAAATGATCTGCCTTCTTCTCTAAGAGGAGATACAGAAACAAATGGACAAAAAGCCAAGAATCTGGGGTATAATCAAATTACTGCTGCAACAGATATTGCTTCTGAAATATGCTTCATCAATTAACGTGTAGGAACCAAGCCAAAAATCTGTACAATTTCCCATTTGCTAATCATCCGCCGTCGACACATGATGTGGACTAAAGAAGTCGATCGTAAGCCTTTAATTAACTGAATTAAGATTCAAATTAATCACTAACCTAGCTCAGATTTCACCCGAACCTCCCCACACCACTGCATAGTGTTATGAAACATTTCTCGGGATCCCTTTTGGAAACGATATAACTTTGAGAAAATTTTTAGGTTTATTTTGATTTTGAGACAATTTTGAGGCAGAATTTTCTTTCTCCTTTTGATTTTACGACAGCATTAAAATAATTTTGTGGGTCATTTTGATTTTGACCTTTTTTTTTAAAGAATTTTCTAGCTCATTTTGATTGTGTTACAAAATTTTGAAGCACGATCTTCTGGCTCATTTTTGGAAAGGAGAGACAAATTTGAGACAATTTTATGGCTCATTCTTGGAAATGAGATAATTTCGAGACAATTTTCAAGGTCATTTCTATTTTGAGACAATTTGGAGACAGTTGACATTTTGATTTTGAGACATTTTTGAGACAATTATCTGCCTAATTTGATATTGAGGCAATATTGAGGAAACTTGGATTTCACTCCGTCCTATTACCATTACTAATAACATAGAAAAGATGACAGTGGTTGAATTAGAAGCGGGAGCAAAACTTCACAGACACAGAGGCTACTCAAAACTCAGAAAGGCTGAATTTGTTGAACTTTTGGAAAACCGAACCCAAAACAAGTCGAAAAAGCAAAACTATTGCAAGGAAAGAGAGCATCAGAAGGGAAAAAAAACCATTCCCCATTTCTCCTAAAAAAAAAAAAGAAAGATTAAGAGATTGAAAAAGAAACTAAGAACAATCAAGCAAAGCTCAAAAAGAACAAAAAGGAAAAAAAACATTAAGGAAGTAAATTAATTGAAATCTCTCGATAAACAGTTAGTCATTCAAACCTTTTTAATCGGAAAGTTCGTTTAGAGGTTTTGCAGTACAATTTCAATCTAAAGGCATTGAAGGATATGGTGTTGAAGAGTTCACGGAAAAAGTCAAACCTGAGGTCTTGAGAGTTATGATTCTCTCATGTGAGATGGTGAGAGAAAATGAGAATGGATTAGTCCAGTTCAGTTATTCACATTTACGCAATGAATTGATTGACAATCTTTTGGTGACATCTTCAAGGAGACGCCTTAAGAGAAACTTTAGAACTTCAACAAAAGTGGAAGCAATTGAAGATTTATAAAGGTCACCTACTCGACATACATTTCACAGCTTGATGCGCCGAGAGTTTCGTCATACATCAAACTCCCGAAATCTTTCCAGCAAAAGAAGGTCATCATAAACATGAAAAACGAAGATGATAATGACTGTTTACATTGGTGCATTAAAAAAGCACTTAATCCTGTTGATAAAAACACTGAAAGGTTCAACCTAGAGAGCAATGTGAGGATTAGCTGAGATGAAATGGAATCACATTCCCCACGAAGCTGACTGAGATAAGCAGGTTTATTTATGGCAGCATCCCAGTCACTGTGATTGGTCGTAATGGCATAAAGTCTATCCTTTCAGGATCAGTGAGAAGAATCCTAGGTATTTCATCAAAGATAAAAACAGATCACCAGAAAAGAAGAAAGAAAGAAAATCATTGATCTTCTCTTGATTGAGGAAGAAGATAATCAACATGACTGCTACTTCAAAATCAGTAGGTTACTCTCGAAAAAACTCACGAAGCATGATGGAGCATTGTTCTTCTGTCTAAGATGCTTGAGTCAGACATACATACATACCTACATTAATACATACATACATACACTTTATTTAAACTCGAATTGTCTAAGTAGCTTTGTTGCGCTAACATCTTCGAAAAAGAAAATATTTAAATTAATTAAATTATTTAAATGCGTTCATTAAAACTACCATCACAAGTTCATTTTCTTTTTCTTTATGACTGCCTTAAAATCTTTATATGATGTTATTGTTCTCATACGGTATGAGAGCGAATTCCACATTTTTGCTGCTTGACATCGGATACGTTCAGGTCCGTTATTTGTTGTTTTCGGTAAAGGTAAGGTCAGAATATTGTTTCCTCTTAATGAATAACTGGAGTTACGAAGAACGAATAGTTTTTTTTAGATATCCAGGACACGTAGAAATATATTTGCTCTTGAAAAGTATCGTAAGAATTTGCTTTCTTTAATAGTTCATTATAACTAGGCATTGAATCATTGAAAATAAATCGTAAAATACATTTGTTCTGATTTATCACAATTTCTAGAGCCAAGAAAATAATAAATTAGAGAGCAATTTTGAAGGTGTGGTAGGATGAAAGCCTTGTATAAACGTAACATGACATCTCTGGTTATAATATTTTTAAATCTCTTGAGAACACTAGATTGTTTCTTAACCTTCTTACATATCTGTGTGATGTGACGATTAAGCTCAAATCCTTGTCAATAGTTACATCCAATAAATCAGTTGAATCGTTAACGGGAAAAGAGAATTTATAAATAGTGTTCGCGCCAAGCATCATTGGCTGGTGCTTGTACGGATTTACAATCATTCCATTTTTACCATAGCAACTGTTTCGGAGATATCAATCAGACTGAACTGTGTGTGATCTTGTGTTTATTCTAGTTAGTCAAGACTTCTTTATCTCATTAGTGACGTACATAATGAACACTAACTATACGTTCATAATTAGCCGTTAATGTACTGATTTCATTACACCCTCCCGGGCCAGCCATAAAATGCCGATCATAGATATTTACACTGTCAAAAAGTAATAGTATTTAAAGTTCATTAAGTTTAGAGAGTTCATTTATTTTTATTGCAGCTCGTTGAGCAGCAGCTCGTTGTGTTCGTTTTTGGCCTGTCGATCTAATTTCTTTATGGTTCTTGAATTTCTCTTCAGAGCCTTGTAGGTTATCTTCCTCGGCTAACACTTCAAGAGGATAAAG